ACTTTGAATCGAGGGCAGAGCAGGTGCATCTGTGGACATATGTTTGCACAGACACTCATACTACAACCACGGCAGCTCAGGCACACATGTGCAAGTAGGCGTCTGTGCACCCAAAAAGAGTCTCATGCAAACGCATCCATTTTGTGGTGTAGTCCGTTTTCAATCATGCATATACTTGGTTTTGTGTCAGTATCCTTTGTGTGTTTACACTTTAAATAGCTGTATCTTTTATTAGCTGGATGTGACTACCTAGCTGCTGAAGTCCCTTGAGCATGAAAGGTTTGTGCTGGTCTTGCCTCATCAGGCTGAACGGATCCCCTCCTTTTCGGAGCGCGGCCCTTCATCCAACAACATTTTATACTGTGTCTGCCAAATTCCAGGGAAGGCAGGATTACGCTGGCATAGTTATTCTTGCATAAGCCTGGTGCTGGGCAGCAGACGCATGCAAGCAAGCCACTCGAGCAGCAGGCAGGTGCTTGCCTGCAAACATGTGTTGCCCTCAGCTGTTTGTCACCACCCTTCTGCCCAGGGTTAAGTACTCCCACATATCTGAGTAGAGATGGTAGAAGGGATCCTGGTAGCCGTTTCCACACAGTTTCCAGCAGGATCAATCAGATTGGTTTGACCCACTGATTAAAAAAATAAATAAATAAATAAATAAAATACTATTGGAGCTAATTTGGCTCATTTGATTGAAGCCAACTAGTAGGAAGCCCTCAGGCAGCAGGCCTGGGTGGTGACCACTGGCTGGTTGTCACCAGAAGGCTGCTGGGAATGCTGGTGTCTTCGTCTGGCACTGCCAAATTCAAAATATGACATTTTCAGTAGATGGCTTTTAAGTTGCATAAAAGGTGTCAAACCACGTGCGAAGAAGAAGCTGTCATTGGCCCGTTCTGGGAAGCCCGTGAGCCAGCCCGCTGCTGAAAGCCTTGCGTTCTGCGTGTGCAGCATCGCTGCTGTTGGCCCTCTTCCTGCCTTCAGGTCCTTCACACCCACGCTTACAAACAGCTAAGTCGGATCAGGGATCAGTGCCCCAGCACATGTGCTAGCAATCAGTCTCCAAGGAAACCCCTCCGGCTGGGCTGCGGTAGCGGCTCAGCCTTCACTGGCCCTTGCCAGGCTGATCAGCGCCCAGGGATTGGCTTTCCTTATGTCAGCTCTCGCTAAATAAAGGAGTGTTTAATTGTTCCCCTCTTTGGCCTAACTGAAGAGCATTTAACATGTTCCACTAGGAACATCTTCAAGCAAAACAGTGTTTCCCCTCTCTCCCTGCTAGACCCATCCTATTCCTCTCCCGCTGTTAGCGTGTGGTGGTGTTCTGAGTTTCTCTCCAGGCTATCTCAGTGTTTCTGGTGTTAGTACCCCTTGCGACTTAGGATGCCTTTCCAAAATTCACTTGTCTTAAAGTCTCTTTGCTTAAAACACCACCTATTGACTAAGCATGTAACCCTGTGCCTGTAATTCACGACTTTACTGTCCTTCCTTACATGACGTATACATTTTCAGGCCTGTTTCACCCATTGTTAGATGATAACGTTATGGGTGCACGCTTATAACTGGGAAAAGAATATCTAGTCTTTTGAAGTAATAAACTATTTTTCATAGGATGTAAACTACTGTGAAAACTGCTTGCCATTCTCAAATGAAAAATATTTCTAAAAATTGCTAATAGCTATATCTATTCAAAGTAAATATATTGCCACTCTGAAAATTTGATAAGCAAATATCCTTAAACTGAAATTTCCCATGCCTGTAGCCTAATTTCAATTCTCCATTGTTGCATTTGTTTCCTCTAAAAAAGAAAAAGGGCAGTTGAACGTACAGCATTCAGAATTTGGTATTAACGCGAAGAAAGGGTACAAACTACTACTATGACTCCATTGAGTCATACAGTGACTCAGAAAGACATAGACGTCCCTTTCTGGCTGTGCAGAAATGTCAGTGGTTCATGATGCGAGCAGAAATCTCTTAAACGTGCTGTGAGAGGCCATTGGTTTCTTCATCTGTTTTTAAGAAGTAAGAGAAGCACGTCCCGCAAGGTGCAGTGCGGAAGTGCAGTGTCGTATGCCACTCCACAGGAAACAAGACTGAAGCTTCTGGGGAAGTTCAGAATTGGGTGACCTCCAACGGATGCAAATAGCGCAGGTTAGTCTGTCTAAAGTTTCTCTTTTCAACCACGTTAAAGGGGTTCTGTGTGCGTTTTTTTACAGTTCTTTTAATATATTTTTTTGGAACGAGAAGTCTTTCGTACGGACGGCGCGCGTTCAGTTAGAAAGTAGTGGCCCGTGGGCTTTTGCAGCAGGACCTTACAAAAGCAAGAACAGGAAGCTTTTCTGTGAGCTAGCCCAACGTGCACGAAGCTGGAGCCTGGCTTGCTGCGCGACAGCAGCCTGGATCAGAGCCGGGTTCGAAATGGGAGTGAACTCTTCTCTGCCTCTGTTAAGGTTTTCATATAACAAGCAGAAGATGTGGATTTGTAACAGAAGTTTTTGGTGTTAATGAACTCGGTTGTCTTTTCAAGCGCAGGTTGAAACTCTTGACTGTGTTGAAAACTTCATTTTGTTTGCTTCAGCTGATAGTGAGCGTAGAGCTGTTTTGTTTGATTTTACTGGTATGTTCTCTTTAAGTTTCCTGTTTTCTCTCATTCCTCATGGTTTCTATTGAGGAATTTGGTCTTAGCTTTCCTGCGCTGGAGTGGTTTTGGCTTGGGAATCCTCTGTCTCAGGAACGAAACAGAAGCAATTTCGTTTCTGTTCCACTCCAAGCGAGCAGATCTAATGAGATGTACATTTTATATTCCTAGGCAAGAGCTCCTTCGTTATTTCTAAACAACGTTATTAGAACGTTGCGATCCGTTAAAAAAGCCGAACGCG